GTTTTTTTTAAGTATAGACACCGGTTGTAGAACCGAGTCATATACAGCCGAAATAAAAAGGTAGGTTTTTTTGACTCGGTTCTGAACCGAATCAAAAGGGTTCAGTTTCTGTCTCTGTTCACAAACAACCGGAGCAGTAGAATTTTTTAATTCTTTTATTCTCAACCGAACCGAGATCAGTGTTGGTTTTGGTTTCTTGTTCAATTATCTGCAATTTTTTTCATCTAACCGAGATCAATGTTGGTTTTGATTTCTTGCAATTTTTTTCATCCATGTTTTCGGGGCAAAATTACTTTGTTAAACTTAGATGATTGCTTCAATCTAAGAAAGGGGAATCAGGAAGGGGGAAGGAGCAGACGACGGTGGAGGTGGAAGAGAGGAGGAGGAGGCTTTATACCCTGACAGAGCAAGCAATCAAAGATCCAAACCAAAAACATAACTCAGATCCAAACCAAAAACCAAAATCAAACCAAAAACAAAAATCAGAGATCGGTTTCACCATCCACCTGCACAGAAACAAACAGAACCAAAAAGGGTTTCCGCCACCATGCCGCCGCATCCTCGCCGCTGCCGCCTCCTCGCTGCTCCATGAGAATAGGGTTTCCGCCATCGCAGTCGCCATCGCAGCCGCTATCGCGGGCTCTCGTCGCACCGTCGCCGGCTCTCGCCGCACAAACGCGGACTCTCTCGTCGCACCGTCGCGAGCTATCTCGCCTCGCCTCGCCTCGCCGTCGCGAGCTGTCTCTCCTCGCCTCGCCGCACCGTCGCGAGCTGTCTCGCCTCGCCTCGCCACACCGTCGCGAGCTGTCTCGCCTCGCCTCGCCGCACCGTCGCGAGCTCTCTCTTTGTCATGGCGGAGGAGAAGAGGTTGGTCAGAGAATGCTAGAGTTGCGGGAGAGGGGCGAGAGAGAAGAAAAGTTGGGAACTTTTTCAGATCTGGATGCAGCGAGAGAGAACCGTGCAGCAGAGAGAAGAAAGTGGAGAACTTTAACTTTTTTTAGGGTGAAATTGACTATATGGCACCGGTTGAAAAAAAATTCGAGGTAATACAGTCTTGGTATAGGCTTCGGTTGCCTAGCTAACCGAGGCATTAGAGAGCTGTCACCATCCCAGCCTGACTTGTAGAGCAATTTCTGACTTGCAGATGTCTTTAAGCATCGGTTGCTGGCCACCCGAGGCAATAAAGCCTTCTAAAAAAGCTGTTTGCAGTGCACGAAGCAAAAGTATAGACTTCGGTTCTTGTGTGAACCGAGACAGTATCACCCTTCCACCACGGGTAACAGTATAACAGATGCGTATAATTTTTTACGCTTCGGTTTTAACATAACCGAGGCATATATGGCGCCTTCGTAACTCCTTTTTTTACTAGTGGATGGTTAGGATGTTAAGACAGTTCACTGACCTAAACAATGGAAACAATGAGAAGTATTGGAATTAGAGGTAAACATGCTTTCTAATGTTGTGTTCGTTTTAAGGGATGGTACTTAAACAATGGAAACAATGAGAAGTATTGGAATTACAGGTAAACATGCTTTCTAATGCTATGTTCGTTTTAAGGGATGGTACTGTTTAAGGTGATTTGGAAGGACGGATTGAAGTTGTTTTTTATGTTCGTTTGAATAGATTTGAAAAGAAGGAAGGGAGGGCATTTGCGGGATGTTGAACTTATTTCATCTTCGCTGAGGGGCAGGGATTTGCGGTGATTTTATATGAAAAACCTATTTTAGCCCTTTATTATCATTCAAAACAAGGTATGCGATTTTCTGTTTTAATGGTTCTTCACTCATTTATTTTGTATTGCAGGTTGTATGTGATTTAGAAACATGGAAGAAGAAGGGACAGGAAGACAATCCAGATGACGCCAGAAGTAGTGGGAAGAAAGGGTTTAGGCTTTTTTTTCTCTCTTTTTAATATTCAGAGTTAAAAATTAATTTTTATTTTTTTCTTTTTTTATAATAATTTTTATAATTATATATAATATTAACAATTACAATTTTATATTACTTTTACTACTAAGGATATTTTGGTAATCTTTAATTTCTATCAATTAAACAATTTTTTTATCTGTCATATCAATCAAATCCTACACTAATTCTCACAAACTTTACTTCCAAATCCATTCTCAATTACCCACAAATCCACTCAAAAAAACAACAAAAAAATTACACTCAAATCCACTCAAATTCATTCAAATAATCTCTCCCAAATCATCTCTTCCAAATTCTTACAAAAGAACAAAGCCTAAGTGATGAAGTCTCTGGTATTAGAAGGTTACGGGGATAGTAAATTCCTACAATTAGTATGAGTGTGGGTAGAAGTCTTCACAACTTTTATGCATGGGAAAGGACTTTGTGTTATGCAGATGAAAACACGATTTCTGGAATTTAAATAGGATATTGCCTCGATTCTCCACTTAACCGAAGCAATAACTCCTTATTACCTCGGTCAAAAAACAAATCGAGACATAAACCTTCCAGAAATAAAAAAAAATTGTTAATTACTATATGCCTTAGTTACCTTCACAACCGAAGGATAAACACCATATTGTCTCGGTTAGAGAACAACCGATGTCGTAGAGTCTGCGACAGAACAGGGATTACAGTGCAATGCAGACACACTGTCAAGTGAAAAGTCTTTTGCAGGTGGGTAGCAGTCTTTTCTGCCTCGGTTGCTCTCAAAACTGAGGTAGTATCCCTAACTCAAAAAGGTTGTCAGGTGAAAAGTTTTATTTGCATGTTGACAATTGGGTTTTCTGCCTCAGTTGTTCTTAGAACCGAGACAGTATGTCTCTTTCGGCATCGGTTCTTGGACAATCGAAGCATATATTTTCGCTAAAACTACGAAAATGTCACCGCGCTTTTATACACTTCGGTTTCTGTAAAACCGAGGTGTATATAGTGCGTACAATTCCCTTTTTTTTACTAGTGAGTGTAGGTTAGAACTAAGACTAAGGGATTGATGATTTTATTTCATTAAACAACATTATGGTTGAGTAATCAATGCCAAAATCTTGTCGATTTTCAGTTTTTTAACTTCTGTCCGTATCCCTTTGAGCAATTCTTTACCCGTTATGCTTCTGTCCACTGATTTTATTAAAGTATAATGCAAATTTTATAATAATATAGAAAAGTCTAAGATAAAATTATTGAAATATAATACAAATTCTAAAATATGGTAGAAAAGTCTAAGATAGGAAAAAAAATCAAAAACATTTTATATAGATAAAAATTTCAAAAACATTTTATATAAGTTGTGGTTAGTATTTTCTAAAATAATGAGTTTATAACTACTAATGTACACTAAGATAACATCTAACACAACTAAGACAACTACAAAATACATTTTTTTTAACTACTGCTTTCCCATTTTACTACTCTCCATATTATCTTATCTATCAATTGTCTCTTTCACAACTTCAAAATACTATCACAAGTTCAAAGCAATCTAGGAACACAATAGAATAGGAGTTTCAAGGAAGTGATGGATACGCAATATTAAACTTCATTATCTAAGACAAGAGTTTAAATTAATTAGAATGAAAGCATCTTAGACCATTAAATATTACTATTATAGAATAAAAGAAATAATTAGTAATATGAGATAAATGAGAAAAATGTGCTTGAAAATAGAATCTTAGAGAAAATTTTAATATTGAAAAGACACGAAGAAATCTTGATCGAAAATGTTTTTCAATTAAAACTAAAATTACAATATCACAATAAAGAATAAAAGGATAAGACACTTAATGATGTTAACGTAGGTGAGTGAGTATTAAGTTTCGCGCCCAAGTTTGGGATCAGGACGATAGTATTTAGACCAATAGGAGTCGTCGAAGAACTTAGATTGGAAGAGAATAAACACAAGCAATGGGGAAAACCCCATTGGAGTCACTGCATAAGAAACCCATTTTGTTGTGTGATCAAATATCAGAAAGGATGTTGCAATGAAAGCATAAACCAAAGTAGTAACGGAGATCATTAGTAACTGAAGGCCATAATACAAGCTGGGATGTACTGATATAACAAATTCAGTGTCTGCGAATTTTGAAGAAATGAAATTTGTCAAGAAAGAGAGTATGGACGCAGAAGAAGTGAACAATGCGATTGCATTTGTGACGATGAATACTATGAACCAGACATTGTTCTTGTCACCTGGAACAGTGAGAGCAGCTGCAAATGCTACAGTAGCAACAAGCGTTGCCACAACCATTCCAGAATTCGCTATTCCTTTAGCAGATTCTTTGATATCTTTGGATAACTGGTTGTGTTCATCAAAAAATACATCAACTGGTGTCTTTCCCTTCTTGTTTTTCATACTCTTTAATCCAGGAGGAACTCTTCTCTCCGCATCCTATTTATCAACCACAAGTACGTGTCAAGATTTCTGGAACTGATGTCATACAATACTAATTCATAAAGAACGATCGAATAAGGAATAAGGAAATGAATAAATTGACCTTGAACCAAGAGAGCTCTTTGTCCATTTGAAATTTTGCACTTAAACCTGAGAATGATTTGAATTGAGGGGCCAAAAGCGCAGCTAGGTGTAGAACGTTGTTACCCTCATTGTCCACGGCTGTTAGTAAAACTGTTTTCTCTCATTTAGAAATTGTTCAAAGAAGTCCAAACGTCGATATAGAAAAAACAAGTGTACTAGGTTCCGTCCATTAGAGTCCTTAAAGGTCATGAGTAATGAAGAACTCCCCATAAAACACCATATTACTGAGTCACCGTTTCTTGATTCCAGAGCATCAAACAACACTGCGGATGGTTCAGTAGTCAACGCCAACATGTTTTTGATTTTCAGTTTTTTGACTTCATCCACTATCCTATACAGCAATCGCATACCCGTTCCTATTAATCCTCTGTCGCCCTGTAATTCTTTGTCTAGATTGGTCCGAGAAATGATTAACACGAAAAGAAATAAGAAAAAAAGAAAGTCAAATTAAATGTTGATCTTATATTAAGCACCTTTTCTTTGTTTTATTTCTATTTAGAAAGTTCTATACTCCTTACTTAAAATTGAAAGTTAAATATTTGTTTGTCAGTTGCTATAACTTTGTATCATGAGACTGATAACTTAATAAGTATATTACAATTATAACACTCACTATTGACCATTAAGAAGTAATTCTTATTTAAAGATATATAGATGCTTAAATTTCTAAATTAACAACCAAGATAATGAAGCTTACCTAGAACTTCATAAGGCTTTCGCGCCAGCATATGCAATGATGATGTTAGCTCCTCTTTATCTCTTGCACGGGTCAAAGCAAGTGGATGTTTTTCAAATAATGTAATGGCCACATCTGTGAAATGCACAAATTAAATAACCATGATGTATTGCATATGCAGAAGGCAAGGTAAATAGCGATGATGAACATGTATTGTTTGAAATAGTAATTACAAAAGGAGGGTTGCCAGAAAATGAAAAGATGAGTTAGTAAGGGTATTCTCTAGTGGAATTATATATATTAAGCATTTGATGGGTTATTAACTGTTGTAAAATTAGCTTGTATATTGCGAATGAAGCATGGTTGATGAATGTTATTTTCCATATTAGCCCATAAGTCTCCGCATATTCATATGCAAGTCACGCTTCCAAAGTCTTGTTAAGATGTGTTAAATATTTTATTAACAAATATTAGACAATCAAATACTGTGTTAGTTATAATTTAGATATTATTATAAGTTGTGCAAATGTCATTTGTTTAATAGATGAAAAATTATAGAATTTTTGTATATATATATATATATATATATATATATATATATAT